ATACGACGACCAATAAAAGCACCAGTTTGAATATCATGACCAGATGATATATATATGTCAGAACAAAGATATAAAAATGCATAAAATGGATTAAGTAGATGTTCATGTGATGGTTGTTGACGACCAATAAATGATGCATAATGTGTAAATGAAGTAACAGAATTAGATTGAACATCATCATAAAAATCTCGACAATCATCAGTTAATTGACCCAAAAATGGCATTATCCATAGACGTTCACTTTCTTCACGAGCAGATTTAATATTACCCAAAAACGTTGTACATGTATATGTGAAATGAGATTTGAGCATAGCACCTAGGAGAGTTAATTCATATATTATTTATTGATTGATAAAAAGATATGTGTTAAAATCTGGAAAAAACTTTCTTGACAAATCGTTCACAAAACTATTGCTCGCTAATACTGTTATTGGTCTTGCTTTTGACAATTCAATAGAATAATGTTTCTCGTATTGTTGAAGTGTATTTATAGTTGAAAACGTGTTAGAAGATAACTGTTACATTTTTATTGTTAGTTGTGCTTTGTGATCGTTCAGAAACCAAATATTGGGTTAGCGTATGGGGGAAGGGAGTGTTGAGAATATCTCTCTATATCACATAATCAATACTACCGTACAGTTACCTTAAAGAAATCAACCATTTATATAAAAAGATTCTCTTTTGCTCAAGTAAAACATTATTCCTCTATTGATCTATCGAGGTATTTCAGCTGTTAGCCATAAAAGGCATAAGCTAGTCTCTTCAAGACGATGATCGACTTCTCTTAATATGATCAAGAAGGATATACCGAGATCACCGCTTGTGATCACAAGGGAGAAAGGAATCCGAAAGGGTTGCAAATTTCATAGTGTGATCTTCGAAGACCGCTCCTGTCAAAACAAGCATGTTTGATATCCATATTATAAACATGGGCAACAACAACACTCGCTACACATCTAACTATATATAGTCTATATTAAAGACAGACTATTAATCTAAAATATTTGATAATTGATTTCTTTTCTTTCTGATAATGGTAACTATGGCTTCTTCATCATTATTTCTTATTTCAATGCCATCCGAAGTACTATGGATTCACTTAGATTGAAAACATCAACAAAAGGTTTCGAAAAGAACAACAAAAACAGTTTTAGTTCTCTACTAGAAATACAATGTTACCTAAGAAAAGTTCTTCATCATTGTAAAAATTTTCCATTGTCTTTTTATCCATTCTTTGTGATCTTAATAAAAGGGCCAATTCATTAAAAGCTAAACACGTTACATTAATACTTTTCGTTAATGTAATAAGACTATCAAATGTTTCTAATAATAATGGTGTCAATGGTGTTTTTGGTATTTCTTTTCGATTAAACTCTCCTCCACTTAGCAATTCTTCCATAATCAAAGTCCATTTATCTAATATTTCAATTGGTGTTGATAATCTTTCATTGTCATTGTTTTCTATTTTCAGAGCCGCTAAGTGTTGTGAAGTAATTCTATTTGAATTTTGAATTTCATCTTGTAGACAATCGACAGTAGCATATGCAACACCAAAATAAAAACCCATTTGAAGTGCATGAAAAAATTGTTCATTCACAAAGGCAGTGTCTAATACTAGATTACTACCAACCATCATTTCAGCAAAGTTAAATAAACGCGCAATACCAATACCAATTGTTGTACGTAATAAACGACTAAAGGCTCCAACTTCTGTAAGTATTATAGGAAATGTTCGTAGAGCTTCACGCCATTTTTCTAATAACCATGTCCATTGATCAATATTTAATTTTGGTGAAAAAAGATTATCATTATTTAGTTTTATAATTGATACATTTACTTCCGTTGAAAATAAAGTTCCAATAACAGTATTTATTATTGATAAAGTTTGTTCTTTATGATCAGATGTTGCTTGCATCATCATCATAAGATGTAAAAGTGATTTAATAAATAAATGAACAAGATATATAAATTGTGAGTTTGATCGTGCTGTTGTTGGTAATGCATTTACTCCAAATACTTTACCAAAACGTAATAACATAAAATCATCACCCATATTATGTAAATCACTTCCATATGCTTTTTTGGTTTTATGAAATAAGGAAATTTTAGTTAGAAAATTTGTGGCACCTTCAAAATCTTCTTTTGTTGGTCCTCTTTTCATATGTTCAAAACCTAAAGAAAAATATCTATTAGATGCATAGATATATCTTATTTTTATAGTTACCAAGATCAATCATCTCTTGAATTAATTCAAGATTAGGTGTTGAACGTTCACGATAGTTTTGTAACATATGTTTTAAATGTTCTTTTGCTTTATTTTCTGCTTGTTCATATTCATGATTTAAATCAAATTGTTGTTCACGAAGTTGTGCAATACAATTAGAATTAGCTATATCAGGTTTTGGTGTTAGGGTTTCAATAATATGAGTATAATATTTTTGTAGAAGTTCATCATCTGTAAATTCTTCATTATTAATATTTGGAAATATTTGTTTTGCACGTTCTAATTGTAATGAACACCATTGATTATTAGATGCTTCTGTTTTTTTAAATAGAGAAATT